ACTAGTCAAGCACGTCCGTAGGAAACCAAATTTACAAAGCCGATTAGGATTCGAGTAGATTCAATTTGACCCACTTTCTTAAAATCTCAATTCGATTCGGTTTCGGTCTCTCTCTTACAGCACATGTGGTTGTGGGCGCGTCTTTTTACTTACGCACATGCACACCCACCTTCATACCCAGTAAGTAAAGGATAAAGCATGTAAAATGACTTGTAATACTAAGGTAAACTTTTGCTTTTTTAAATACCTCTGTCTTACCATTTTTACCTTGACATTTTTTGTTTCGTTCTGGTATTTGTTCTGATCAAAAACTGCCATCATGTAAATCGTCTGATAATGTGAGCTAACCGAATAGTTCTCTAATCCATTACTTGTCATTTTTAAACTGTTCATCGGTATTACTACAGAAACATCTTTCAAAGGTGTGAGTAGGTGTTACTCTAATTCTCAAATAAAATAAAATCCACACCCACACACTTGTTCGGTTTTGGTTGCATCGCCGATCTGTCAACATTCACATCACATCAAACAGTGATAAGAGAAAGACAGCCTCTGGCTGTTCTCTTTCAGAAATTCGGCGGAGGACAAAGATATTTTACCGAGAAGATATGAAATTCTCAGTTTATCTTTCTTCTGGTTGGTGGAGTTGCTAAAAATGCAGACATGGGCATGGGGTGAATTGATGCAAGTGGACGACTGCATTTTGAGGTAAAGCTAACTATTGTTAAAATCGTCTGATACATTATCTTTGTAACAAAACAGGATTGATATGTTGTTGGTTTTACGCTACTAATCAAGGATGCAACTGCACAAGATTGGTTTGGCTTGCGAGGTCGAGAGGAAAGCAATTGCACGGCCATTCGATTCAACCGTGCATTAGATACAAAAGACTCTACGGATAATCCTATCCAAGTAATATCTATCCCTTTCATGTTCAACACTTTTTTGCGTACGTTCTTTTCCAGTCTGAAATGAATAAGGTGGGCATGAATGTGGGTGCAGTTTTGAATACCCTCTTAACCCATACCGACACTCACACGCACCCACACCCACACCCACGCCCTAAACTGCATATTTAATCATGTTTAGAAAAAAGCATATGCGACACTGAACAAAAAATGCGTGGTCAATACACGTGCTGCTCCTTGAAAGCAGGAGGAAAGCAAAAAGAGCTAATGGAGATCATCGTAGATACTACTTAATTCATTCTCTACCAACGGGGTTAACATAACAGCTGTAATATATGCCGTAGTTTATTAAATCGTCTTTCAACTCAAACTCATAGTAAACATATAGAGGAAAGCTATACGTAAAGCTGGATACACATTCGGCGTCTTGCTATTCATTTTACTTTGGCAATGTGAATTGTGAACTTGAATGAGTGTGTTCGATTCTTTTCATGGGATAGACCGTCACTTCTTTTCAAGAAAAGTCTGTGAACCTTCAAATTAGCGCACTTCCTGAGTAAGCCGCAGACATATCTTCAATTCATTCCTGTGTCGAATATTTGGGCTCTTGGTACTATGATATGTGCTGATGGTCATTGTGACACGTTCTAACCGCTAACTGTCGAGTTGTTCAAGGACACGCTGACTATTAGTAGTAGCAAGCTAGCGAGAACCTTCACTTAAATGCTGAGTCTATTCTTTTATTTTACGCAAATTAAGCACAAAGAATCAAAGAAATGACAGTTCGAGGTGCCGTGAAAGGGATCTTGAGTCGAGAATAAAGGTTAGTAAAACATTTATTTTTCGTGAAATCTACTTCAAGTCAATAATTTTCACAACATTTTTTTCAAAAGTCATGGTGCACAAGGTTTCCGCTTCCTCTCCCTATTCTGTCTTCCCCTTGTGACAAGCTTCTAGAACATATTTACAAAGACCACCTTATCTGGTCCTTTAGAATTCTTATCACTTTGCCTTTATTTTTGTTGCCTTGAAACTAATAAATGATCACAAAAGTCGACAAAGAAGAATGGCCTTAAATAATTTCGTTGAAGAGTCCATTCCCTACAGTCTTTCCTGCATGTTTTTGCAGTCTTCTGTTTTTAGCAATGCACGTTTGCTATACGATTTACCTTGAAATGGTCTTCTCGATACTATTACATTATGCCCATTTTATTCTGAGCGCACAACAAAATTGCATCGTTGTGGCTGAAAAATTTGTCGAGTCCTGTCTGTCCTTTCTTCTACATGAATAAATGCAATGTTTTGCAGAGGCTCGTGATTTTATTTTTCGTGTGTTTCAGATGAAAAGAACACAATTGTGGACCGAAATTCATCAAGAGAAAGTATACATTTTTGATAATCACTAATCTAGACGAGTGGATAGCTGGACATAGTAGCAATACCGCATTGATTCTTCTTGTTGCGGCTCATCCAGATGTAACCCTGGTTACCCCATGAGGTACCCCATGAATTCTTGACAATGTAGTAATCTTGGCTGGTTTCAGTGGTGTCATAACCGACAGCTAATACACCATGATCGAGTTGAACTGCTGAGCACGTCGGTTCATTGTACACACCAGAGCGATAGAATTGAAACGAGCCGTGCGAGGCATCAATGGCAACCGAAATAGGACCAATGGTGGCAATGGCAAGCTGGAGGTCGGTTTCGTTCTGCGATTTGATATCGACGAAACCCTATGACATGTTAATGACGCGAAATATTTTCATTCATCAATATCAAAGTAGAAACTCACAGTGTCAGTGGCACCAACATCCGCAGCCTTGAAGCGGCATGTGTTATCACGAGCCTCGTAGGGGTAGCTCGGTTCGGTATCAATACCCTTGTTTGCCTTAATATATTGGAAGGCCGAGTCCATTAGGCCACCACGGCATCCAAAGTTACCGAAGGCACCCGAACAATCGACTAAATTTTGTTCTGAGAGTGAAACCAGTTGTTTAGTCTGAGCGAAATGTTGGCCTTCGAGTGAGCCAGTAGCCGAGAAAGCCCAGCACGAACCACATTGGCCTTGATCCTTGACAGGAGTAACATAGCCCTTTGTACGCCAGTCTATATGGACGCGTATGTGTAGTACGCTAGCAAAATTGAATAGGATATCTGCTTACCCACAGAGGCTGGAAGGACTACGTTCGATGGAGCCAAAAATGTGTGATGATCGAGCTTGTCCATATCAGCATTAACCGTCATCTTTAATCCATTCATTTGCTTCTTGAATTCTTCATGGGTCTTTAAAAGTGTAGAAAAAATGTCAATCGAATCTCATTTTCAAGTGTATAAGCAACTAGCCAAGTCACCGTATTTGTTCATTCCCATAGTGAATGTGTGCATACCAAGGTCAGCTTCAAGATTATGTTGCTGGATTTTAGCAAGGTTGGCTTCCCAGATATATCGGCTATCGAAAGATAAGCAAAGAACATCGTAGCGAAACATAACATATAAATACTAGTGTTTCTTACCGATTAAGTTCGTCTTCAACAGATGAGTATCGTTTTTCGTGAACTCGTTTGAAGAGTTCCCATGAGTTACTCAACTGATCGTCAAGCATCGGCGCACAATAGGCGCCTACGAAGAGGACGCAGACAGCAATGAAAGCCTTCATTATTCTGACTGTTCGATGAGTTTGTTCGTGAATTGATGGAAAGTTAAATGCTTTGCACAAGCGTAAACTGTAGTTTAAATACTACCGAGAATTTTCATTTTGTCATTCTAATCATAGGAGATAATGTAAAATTTGTCTCGTCATTTCAGAATGACAAACTTGCTACACGTTACAGAGTGATGAAGCAAGAAATTTGATACTACATTCGCTTATCTCGCTTTTCAAAATTTGACCCATTTCAAGCACTGAAACTCGTCGTTTATGCTTGATAATCAAAAACCAAACACTCTCTCTACAGTGCATCTTGCAGTGAGATCGAATAAGATAATCTTATTTTCGAGTAAGTTTTCTTCACATTACAATGTAGTAAGTAGAAAAAATATACACGCCACCAGTTCTTGGCCAGTATTACAAACTCTTCGTGGATCTGATAGAAGAATACAAAACCAGTTCATCCTCTAATAAGATGTTGGGTTTAAAGTTTTGTTGCAAGAAGTTCTGTGAAACTTTTTGGCGCACAGTAAATGCTTAATATCGATGTGAAGCTAGCACAGCAAGACGACTTACCACGACGAGAAACAAAACTTCATTAGTCATAGAACAAATCAGGTAAAAAGCAATTGAGAAAAACAAAATATCACTGTATAGAATGGTGATAAGGGCATGGCTGCCCTTCATAACCAAATCTAAAAGATATATATTTAATTAGTAGACATCATTCTTATTTTTTTATATCTTCATCCATCATCGAATTCTAGAAATTCAACATTAATAAAAAAAACGTTTCCTACTACATTCCAAGTAGAGTGTGGGTGGATGTGGTTGTGAGTGATGGTGTCGCTGAAAAGGAGATCCACATTCACTCACGCCTACTCCCACACAAGCACCCACCAACACTCACACCCACACCCCACTCTTCTCAAAACCGTACAAAAAAAAACACTCGATGATGAATTATCATTTATGTTGTTAAATATAGTTCACTAAACTCAATCATCATCGTTCAAATGGAAGAGGTGTTAGAAAAAATGAACCTTTTTCGCTTCAACGCCCTCAGTTATAATTATACGTGATGAATCAAATGAAAAAATACAAATTAATTAGCATTCTTATCATTCAAAAGATACCGTTAAATATGCATGTTTTTATACTCTTAATTAACCATTTTGTCATGTGTAGACGATTAAATACCATGAAATCAATATATTGGAAAAAAATTGAGTAACCGCTTGTTGCCTTCGACCATGAATCGAACGAGTAGGCGAAAAAAGCTCAAAAAATAACTACTACCACTGTATGTAGCTATAAAAAAGAGAGAAATGTGGAATATTGCAAGTCAAATTTCAGTTGCATCGCTCTATTCATCGACGCAACAGAAACAACGATCATGCAGCTCGGCATAGCTTCTCTTCTCTCCATTATATATCTTCTTCTTATGATTACCAACGGTCAAGCTGAAAAAGTGCCTGTTACCAAACGAGAATCACAGAAAGCAACACTAATGAAACTAGTCAATAAACGGGTGAACACTCTTTGGCAGGAAGTTGAAAGCGAAGAAAAAGGTGAGAAAGATCAACGTGCACAAGGTCAAGATGCCAGTAATAGTCCTGATCTTAACCTTTTGTCTCGAACTGATGTGTGTAGCTTATACTGGGATTATTCTAAAGATTTCTATGAAGTCTATCATATGGGCAAGAAAATTGATGGTGCACGTCCATTATATGGGCAAGAAAGTTCAAGGCGCACGTCCATCTTCATTCCAACTGATTGACAAAGGCTACGCAAAGGACTCCTATGATGTCTATTATATGGGCAAGAAAGTTCAAGGTGCACGTCTATCTTCATTCACATTATTTGATGGTGGTTATGCTACCGATTACGACAATATCTACTGCGTTAATAAAGAATAAATAGTGCATCGTGTAGCTCATTAAATGTCATTCATATGGAATTGAAAAGACTGGTAAAATTTTTACGTTAAATATTCTAAGTAGTGGGATGCCTAGTTGTTCATTCTTGTCTCTGTTATGAATATGTGTTTTGTTTTGCTTTTTCTTGTCTGTAGATGTATATTTTCTCATTCAATAGGTATTTTCATTTTTCTTGCACTTCGCTGGATGTTACTGTAGCGTTGTTCCCTTCAGGGATACCTACATTGCATCATTTTTTTTTCGTGTTTCTTTACTATTTGAAAACGAGTTAGAAGCATTTCATGACGAGCATACAAAGAAAAATCGTCTTCTTTAAGCTTCACTCTTTTGTATTCAATTCAAATTTTTGTTCTCGTAGTATACCCTCTTTGTTTGATTATACGACTTTATTTTTATTAAACAGCATCTATTGACTAAGTATACAAAAACAAACTCGCACCTCTTATGAACAACGAATGAAGATCGAACCTATTACAAACTTCAAAATTCTTTCGACAGTTGGCAATGTACAAAGTTACTAATTTGAAGTTTTAAAACAATGGTGAAAGTAGAGGGCTGCAGGGTGCAGGATTTTTATAACCTGTAACCTGCCCTGTAAATTTTTTGTAACCTGATCCTGCCCTGCCCTGTGAATATTTTTGCGGACCCTGCCCTAAAACTTTC